TTCCTCCTGTTTCCTCTTTTCTTCCAACATCTTCTCACGCTGTTTCCTCTCTTCTCGTTCCTGTTCCGCAGCCTGAAATTCATTTCATCAACATGCATATAGCAACAAGAAATCAGAGATTTCAGACATGGGAAGTATTTGGGTTTTTCCTGACCTTCAACTTTACAGAGCACTCTATCAATCAACTGTAAAAAGCCCTTCCCACCCACTATGCAAACATTTAAGCAATCTATATTACACAGACAAACCCATAATCCCCAGATGCCCAACACAATACTTCCTTCTGTAGCCAGAAGTAATAGGTGAAGACAATATTACAAAAGACAAAAAGAAAAAAAAGCTTTTATTGTAACAGCAGCAACTTGTCAGTTGGAACAAAAAGAACTCCTTCAATGAGTAAGTTTAAAAATGGATGAAACAAATCTTAATATAAGTGGCTCCCTGACCTCTCTTGCTGCCTTCTTCTCTGCTTTCATCTCGAGTTTCCTCATTTTCTTAGCTCCGACCTTCATGCCTTCAGGAATGTCAATTTCTGGCCTGGCTTCATCTGAGTCACTCTCTACATGTACATGAATAAAAACAACAATGAATTACTACTGCTTCTCTTTACATCTCTGTATTAATGTTTTCCTTGATTTGTGCACCCTAAAAACATGCCAATGTACTGTGTACATATAGTTACTAAGTAACTACTAAGTAATTACATCGTAAAAAATTAATACGTTTTTAGAGTGCACAAATTGAGGAAAACAAATGATTTGAGCAATTTTTCAACTGGGCTATGAGTGCTGCACATGAACTTAAACATCACATCTGGATGAGAGGCTCTGCACTAAAAGAAATTGCCTCAAAAGTCAAAACATGGAAATCAATAAATTTCTGAAGTAACTGCAATTTACTAAATGTCCTCATCCTAAAACTGGTACAGTGCAGTACTGTACTGTATGAGTATTCCATATCTTGAAGCTGCGTATCCATATTGAACTAATTTGAAGCTGCGTAATTCAGCCTTTTTTTGTATTATTAGGCTGCAATGTAGTTTTTTTACATGAACGTCAATTTGTGAATAAACCATTTATACATATCTTTGTTATGAAAATGAAAAAAAAACAAAAAACTATTTTTTAAGATTTTGCGAGCTGTACAGTAATGTGTATGTCAACCTTACCCCCCTCGCTGTCCTGTTGGTTCATGCGTCGTGCGGCCTGTAGTCTCTGCCGTGCGCCCCTCACCCTGCGGGGAGCCCCCGCGGCCCTCTCCACGTCCGTCCTGGGGCGGGGTGCACCACGCCGCTGGCCATCAGCAGCAGCTGGAATAGTCATGGCGCAAATCAGCCAGCATATATACAATTACACGTGCTGAACTGGAAATTGTAAATGTTCATGACCTTCAATGAGTTCAAGTCCATAGTGGGTTTTGAGTGTATTCGAACTGTACAGGGATTGTATTAGCCTGATTAAATCGCTTTTGCCGGCCGCCCAACATCCAGCCGGCCCCCGAACTATGTAGAGAGCCCCCCGGAGCTTGGGTTACATAGGCTAGGATCATACTATGATGTAATTTAATCAGGTATTGAACCATTTCTGTCCACTTAAACTTTCACCCCACAGAGTGGTTGGTCTCTCCAACACGCCCGGAAGATTTCAAAGTTTTTAAGTCTTTTGTGTTACCATCCAACAACAATCTTCAGAAAATCGTGGACGATAGTATCTATATATATTCCGGAGCAATAGGAATCTTCCTTTGGTCAAACTGTTCAGCGAGAATTCACTTAAACAGAGAAACATCGAGACGCGACAGTCGTCAGGAGAGACCCCCCTCCCCCAAAGAAGAAGATCATCCAGTACTGTGACTCTACCTGGCAGTCAACAAGCCTACTAAAGCGCTTTTTTCACGCCTACAAACTGCAGCGGGCTCCTTATATGGAGCCCTTGCGGGTAAGTGTCTTTCTTAACGACGAATAATCCTTATTCTCGTGTTTTTGTGCAACAACTTGTACAAACACAGCAGTACCCCTCTGCCGAAGAGTATCTGAATTACAGGGCAGCACGGAGCGAGACGACGGCCGGCGCGAAAGGGTTGTGGCGGCTGACGGCTGATGCTAGATCTGGCTGAGCTCGAGAGTGAGAAATAGATCTAGAGTTCTCGGCACTCATATTCAACGGAGACTTTTCAACCGCTGTGGGCTCCGTCATAGGAGCCCTCGCGGGTAAGTTTCTTTTCGTCGCCCACCTGTTCTTCTTTTTACGGTTTTATTAGCCCTTTGTATTGGTTCTGCTGGCAACACACCTCAGGAACAACCCTCTGCCGTAGTGCTTTTAAATTTCAGGGCTGGAGATGCACCGGCAATCACCAGCGAACAACCTTTGAGAGTGGGAGTGTGTTCCTAAGAGGGGCTTTGCTGACCAGAGGCAACCAGAAGAGCCTGCTGACATTGTAAT